TGGGATGGAGAGCACGGCAGAGGAAATGCAGTTAGCATTAATATGATGGTTAGGTGGAGGGCCAGGGAAGGGAGGGAGCAAATGGGAGGATAGTTTTATGAACTACATAGATGTCTAACCAATGTACTGTATACTTGAAACTAATTTAAATAAATAATTTTTTTAAAAAAAGAACACATTTTGGGGCACAGACTCATTTTCAGGAACAGGTATAGTTGAGAGAGAACCCGCTTTCTTGATTTGTACTCCTCTGCGGGTTATTGACTCTGGGAAGCTATATATCACACCTGTGTTTTATACATTCTAAAAGTTTTTTTTTTTTTTTAAGGTGAGGCAGCCCTTGGTTGACCTCACAGATTCCAAGGACCTTGTCAGTTTATAATCCCTTATTTTTTAATTTTTACACCTACAGCACCTGTTCTTTCTAGTTGGTCTCCCATCCAAGTACTAAACAGGCCCCACCCTACTTAGCTTCCAAGATCAGATGGGATCGAGCTTGTTCAGGGTGGCATGGCTGTAGACTACATTATAGAAGTTTTAATCTTTCTCTCAAGTATATTGTTAATGTGTCTATTTAAGCCTTTACTTATTTATATTGAATTAAATTTAGTTACTTTTAAAGTGACAAATTTAATGTTACTTTTCTCTCACTATTTCCAAATCTATTTTGTACTTTTCATCGTATTTTTATTTTGACAAATATTAAGATGTATAAAGAACTTATTTTAAAATGAACTTTACTGAGGTAAAATTTAATTACATAAAATGCATCCATTTTAATTGTAAACTTTGACAAGTTTTGACAAAGACATATTATATATACCCATGTAAGCACCTCCCCAATCAAGGTATAGAACATTTCCAACACCCCAAAAAGTTTCTTCGGTCTGTTCCCAGACAATCCCTCTACCCCACCCCAACATCCAAGAATCTGATTTTTGTCACTATTAATTAGATTTATCTTTTCCAAGGTTTCATATAAATCGAATCATACCATATAAACTCTTCCATGCCTGACCTCTTTTGTTCTGCATGCTGTTTCTGAGATTAATCCATGTCTTTGTGGTATCAGTAGTTTGTTTCTTTTTATTATTGAGTAATATTTTATTGTATGGGTACACCACAATTTGTTTATTCATTCACATATTGATGGACATTTGGGCATTTCCAGTTTTTGACAATTATGAAGAAATTAGCTATAAACACTTATTTATAGGATATTTTGGGACACATGTTTTCATTTCTCTTGGGTAAATATTTAGGAGTAGAGTTATTGGGTCACATGATAAGTGTATGTTTAACTCTGTAGGAAACTATAAGACTTTTACAAAGTGGTTGTATTATTTTATACTCTCATCAGAAGTATAAGAGTTTAACGTCCAATAATTGGTATCTGTAATTTTAGGCATTCTAGCCAAGTGTGTGGTTTTATTCTTCATTTCCCTAATGACTGATGATGTTGGGCATCTTTTCATTTGCTCATTATCCTTTCATATTTCTTGTTTTGTGTCTGTTCAAATATTTTGCTCATTTATTATTATTATTTTTGTTTTCTTGTCACTGAGTTGTAAGAGTTCTTTGTATATTCTGGATACAAGACTTTTGTTAAAAATATGTCTTGCCAATATTTTTTATCACTTTCTGGCTTGCTGCTCTATTTTCTGAATGATATATTTTGAAGACCAAAAGTTTAAATTTCGATTAGTCCAATTATCAATTTTTTGCTTTTTGGATTGATGCTTTTTGTATCCCAAGAAATCTTTGCCTACCCAAAAGTCGTGAAGATTTTCCCCTATTTTGTTCTAATGATTTTATAGCTTCAGCTTAAAAGTTTAGATCTGTGATCCATTTTGAGTTTACTTTTGACATGGTATGGGATAAGGATTGCAATTATTTTTTCCATCTATCTAGTTGACCTAGCACCATTTGAAAAGACAGTTTTTTTCCCCCATTGAGTTACCTTGGCCCCTTTGCTGAAAGACAGTTGACCTTTTAAATGTGAATTTATTTTTGGGTATTTTATTCTGTTCCATTGGCCTATATGGATTCTGAACTTATTGAATACATGAGCATAATAAAAAGGTTGTTGTTTTCACCACTGAATTAAGAGTAGTTTTGTACATAGTAAGAGTAACCTGAACAGAAGACATCTGGGCCCTAAAGTTTCTTTGTTGGAAAGTTTAAATAAATTACATTTCTTTAATTCATACAGTATTATTTACATTTCCTGTGTCTTCTTGTGTCAGTTATGGAAGTTCGTGTTAATTAAGGAGTTTGTAATACTTTTTTCATTTTGTTTTGTAAATAGTGGTTTTAATGTAAGGAGGAGGCAAGAGAATTAAAATGTTCAGTCAAGCTACATTCAGAGACTGCAATTCGCTGCTTGATCAGCTCTGCAGCCAGGACCAGAGGATACCTGCAGAACAAAGGAAGATTTCTGCTGGGATTGCTAATCACCCTTTTCCCGCCCCTGTGGAAGGGAAACAGGAAAAACAGAGTCTTTAAATGGCTGACCTACACAAATAAAATCATTCATTCTCTATGGCTAAAACCATAGGGAATCTATGGA